CGAAAATACTTAGATTTTGCAATGATAGACATTGAAAATACAGAACCAGCAAGACAAATCAACAATGATGAAGAATTGCTTAAACAAATAAAGAAAGAATCAGAAAAACGGAAACAACTGGAAGAAGAAAAAAAACAAAAAATAGAAGAAATATACGAAACAATAGATAAGGAAAGTGACTCAGAAAGTCTACTAGAAGACAAGGGTTAACAAAGAGACTTGGACAACTTTGGAAACAAACTAGAATACTGGAATAAACCTGGATCAACATCTCAGGCACTGGAACAAAGTAGATTTGAACCACGACATGATTACCAAATAAAATATTCAAACTATAATCCCAAACCAAAAGGTGACCAAGTATTGTTCACCGAACAAGACTTCAACAACTACAGGAAGAAAACAAATAATGGGTCAACAAGTGACTTATCATATAAAAGTAGTTCAACGTACAATAGTGATTTAACTAGAGATGATAAAGAAATCATAAGAAACATATCCAAAGGATTGTTTCAAAGGGAAGATGACTCAACATTTAAAGATACGGATAGCATACCTAGTATACCACCATTAGAACCGGATATACAAGAAATAATACTAAATCAAGAAAATACTGAATACGAAGTAGGGGATAATGGATATTTAAGAACAAAAAATGATACTGGTATAATCTGAGAACAACCTGAACAAATAAAACAAATTGAACAAGAACAAATCAAGTCACCAACACCATCGTTTATAAAGAACACGCTGAATCTTATAACACCATCATACTTCAAAAAAGACAGTAACAAAAATATAGCTAAAAATGTAATCAAAGACCAAGCTATAGCCCAAATGAACCAACTGACAAACCAATTCGAAAGAACAAGAAAAGATTCGTTTGAAAAAAGAAAGAAAATGACAATGCAAGATTATAGACAAAAAATTGAGGAAGATAAAAACAATCTTAAAAATGAATACCTGAAATTACAACAGGAACAACAACAGCTAATGAATGAAGGACCATCGATAATAACAGAATATAACAAAGATCCTATAGAAATAGGAATAAACCAAGAATCAGACTTACCATACCTAAGACCAATAACAAACAGACCCGGAACACCGAATTATAAGGGGAAAACACCGAACTATGGGTATAAAAATGATGATAAAGAAATTAACATATTAGAAACAAAGCCAATAGAAATGAAAAAAGGAATAAAATTAAAGATTCATGAAGAATTAGCACATATACCGAACGAATATAGAAAACATATAATACCAACCCTAGGAACTGGAAAACCATTACGAAGTAATGACCACCTAGTATTATTACCAAACACGTGGACTGCAATTAACATTGAC